GGCGGTCGTATAGGTAATATATATATATATATACACATGTATGTATACATATGTATATATGTTGTACATACATATGCACATAAACATATAGATACATCGGAAGTTGGGGGGGTGAGATCGAGACTCCCCCACTGGGAAATCGGTTTCGATTTCGTGTTCGTGTCGTGCGTGCGAGGCGAAGCTGCTCGTGATCCTCCTGTAGCTAGGCCGAAGTAGGAGCGAAAGTCCGTTCCCGTCCGCCGGTGGCTGGGAGGTGTCTCAGTTCGGCCGGCCGGTGTCCCGGGTGTCCAGGGTGTCAGTAGGAGCGAAAATTCGTTTCCCGTCCATCGGTGGCCGGGAGGTGTCCCAGTTAGGCCGGGCGGTGTCCCGGGTGTCCCAGGCGTCCCGGCGCTAACGCATGTCGTTAAATTCATAATTCATTTCGCTCGGCGCCCGCGGCGGGCTTTCTTATCCAATCCAGCTTAACTTATCCAACCCAATCCATCTTGTCCAATCCAATCCATCTCATCTGATCCAACCCAGACTGTCCCATCTTATCTTATCCCACCCAATCCAATCCACCCAACCCAATCCATCAATTAATTTGTTTCTGCGCCTGCGGCGGGCCAATCCAATCCATCATATCATGTCCAATCCGTCACCATAGTTGCCGCCGCCATCGCTGCTGTCAGCACCGCCGCACCCATCTCCAATCGTCACTGCCATCATTGTGGTGGAGGGGGAGACTGATATATCATTGTATATAGATATCTATATATATATATAGAGGGAGAGAGAGAGAGAGAAAAAGAAAGAAAGAAAGAGAGAGAGAGAGAGAGAGAGAGAACGAGGGAGAGACAGAGAAAAGGCAGAAATTAACTAGTATGCGATGGTTGTCTCGCGGTTGTCTTGTGATTGTCATTATGGTTGCCTGGTGGTTGTGCCGATGGTTGTCGTGTGGTTGTCCGACAACAAATCGTTTTTCGGCGCCTGCGGCGGGTGTTCTCATTTTGCTTTCGAGGTCGATACAGTCAAAAACCCTAACAAGGACGCGCGGTAAGGACGCAAGACCCTTGGAAGCTGAAGTTGGGATTTATGGGGCGGCGGACGACGAAAACCTCAAGGACGCAAGAGCAAGAAAGAGCAAACACGCAAGGGTACCCTGAGCAAAGTCGCGCGTCCTTGTTAGGGTTTTTAACTGTAGTGAGGTCGACAGTGAGATTCACCGATAGGTCGGTCGACAAATAACTAGATAGTGGGATCTCATCGTCATCGCGATCACCATTGTGGTGGAGGGACTCTGATACAGAGGGAGAGAGAGAGAAGAGAGAGGGCGAGAGAGAGAGAGAGACAGAGAGAGAGAGAAGCAAAAAGAAAGAGAGAGATGATATAAAGGTGGCAGGCTGGAGGTCAATCAGGGTGAGCATTTGATCTCAATCCCCCCCAACCTCCTTATCGCCCGCAGGGCGGTCGTCTAGGTACACATAAATAAACATATGTATCGGATGTTTGGGGGTGACTTCGACGTGAGACCCCCCCAACCGGGAAATCGATTTCGGTTTCGGGTTCGTGTCGTGCGTGGCGTGCGTGCGTGCGGGCGAGGCGAAGCTGCGTGAGTGGGCGATAAGAAGTCCTCCTGTGGCTGGGCCGCGGCTGGACCAAATGTTTCTCCTCCGGCGGCCGGTGACCCGCGGTGTCCCGCCAGTGTCCCGCTGGTGTCTCGAAATCCTCCTGTGGCTGGGTCGCGGCCGGACCAAATGTTTCTCCTCCGGCGGCCGGTGGCCCGCGGAGTCCCGCCGGTGTCCCGCCGGTGTCCCGTGGTGTCCCGTGGTGTCCCGTTGACTGAGATCGATAGTGAGATCGATAGTGAGATCGATGCGGTGTCCCGAAGTGTCCCGTGGTGACCTCTGGTGTCCTCTTGAGTGAGATCGATAATGAGATCGTCAGTGAGACCGATAGTGAGATCGAGAGATGTCCCGCGGTGTCCCGTAGTGCCCCGTTGAATGAAATCGATAGTGAAATCGATAGCGAGATCGATAAGTGTCCCGTGGTGTCCCGTGGTGTCCCGTTGAACGAGATCGATAGTGACATCGATTGAATCAGATGTTGTTTCCCCCTCTGTCCTCCCCTCCACAACCTCCTTATCACCCGAAGGGTGGTCGTATAGGTGTATACATGTACACGATTTATTGATTCTGCATGCCAAGGGACAAAAGCCCGCAACCAACGCGGACGTGCGATTAGCGCTGGGCCCGCGATTCACACGCGCACGTCCCGTGGCGGCGCGCGATCAAGAAGATCGCGCGCCCCAACTGCAAAAAGACGCGCGCCTGGCCGGCGGCCACCCGGCCCAGACCCGACAGGGCGCCCGCCCCGATGGGCCACAGGGGGGCCTCGAAGGGCGCCCGAAAGGCTTCATGAAGCGCCACCAAGCCCCGCTTGGCCCCTCCGCCCGCGGGCCACTCGGGCCAGCGAGTCCGGCGGTCGCCCCAATCAAGCAGGTAGCAAGTCGGTCGCCGAGGTCGGCGGCAAGTCCTCGGAGGGGCGCGGGAGCGGCGGAGGGGGCGGGGGGGTAACTCCCAATCCCCGTCGCGGGCCGAAGGGGGGCCCGCCGCGCCGGCCACGCGGAAAACACGCATCCTGATGGGCCCGCGCGGGAATGCGCGCACCGGCGTCGCCCGCGCGCGCGATTGGGGGAGGCGGCCGAGATGACGCTGGCGCGGGCGACCACCGCAGACATATTCCGGCGCGCACTGGGCCCTGCGAGCGCCCCGCGCCGCGCCGCTTGGCTGGCGCCCCAAGCCCGGGCCCTGCAAGCAGCCCCGCGGCGCGCCCGAACCGCCCGAGCGGGCGGGGGGGGCGGGCGCCAGAGGAAAGGGGCGCGGGGGCAGGGGGGCGGGGCGGGGCGGGGCGCGAAGAGGAGGCGCGGGAGGAATCTGATCTTCCGCTCTGCTGGTGAGCTACCGCCGCCTGCCCGCGTTCCCAGGCAGCCGCGCGGCCCGCCCGCGCTGCCGGAGCGGGCAAGGGCGGCAAGCGCCAGGGGGAAGGAACCGCGGAGGGCGATGTGGGGAGGGAGCGCGAGGACGAGCAGGAAGAATCAAGCCTCCCACCTTGCCGCAGAGCAGGCACCGCAGGCCCGCGCTCCCTTACTGGGCCCGCGGCCCGCCTGCGCCGCCTGAGCGGGCGGGGGCGGGGAGGCGCGGGGGGGGGGTTGGGAGGGGGCGCGAGGGCGAGCAGGAGGAATGAACCACCCCGCCCTGTCGCTGAGCTGGCTGACGCCGCCAGCTCGCGCCGCGCCGCCAGGCCCGCGGCCTGCCTGCCTGCCGTGCCTCGCGCAGGAGACAGCGCTTGTTGCCGCGATCCGCGCAGCCAGGGGGCCCGCTGCGCCGCGCATTTTTTGGACACGCGCTCGGCTCGCGCAGCGCGTCGACACACCAGCAGCGCCTGCCACCCTCCGTCTCGACCGCTGGCCTTGCCAGCTGCTCCGCCACCAGGGCCTCGGCAGCGCGTCCCTCGAACCAAGCGGGGTTGGCCTCGGCTGAACACATGGCGCCACTGCTCCTATTTTAATACATGCAGCCAGTCATGGCATCTGGCACTCCATGTCCCACGGTTCAGTTGCCGTTGCTTCGAAAACCTGGCTTGGCTTTGAGAACCTGGCTGGCTGTTGGACTGTCATGCACATCGCGCTCGCGCCCGCACTCAGCTTGTCGCCTCCTGTTTCCAATGTCTCCCTCAAAAGGATAATGAATATGTTTAAGCAGGTAGACAATAGCACTGGGAGTCAGCCGCCAAAAGACCTCGAACCCGCCGATGTCGACGACGTACATGGTGAGTTCCGCGTGGTCTCGCACTGGCCTGTCCTTCGCCAGAACGCCCCAAATCCAAGCGCCATGACGTCCTCGCGGGGGCGACGTCGCGCAGCGAGTCGGGCTGCTCCGGGCGGGCGTGCGCCACCGGACCCCAACCCACCGCCCCCGCCCATTCCAAAACACCCCTATCACGCGCTCCGTTGCCCGATAAGGAGCTCCGCCTCAAGCGCCAGTGGGTGCGTCCACGCGCGGACGATCAACAGTGCAACTGCAACACGCTCTTCGCCCTGAGCGGGCTCCACGTCTGGAGGATGGAACGGGGCCGACGGCACGGGCCAAAAGGGAAAAACAGGGGATCGGAGGAAGGGGTCGGGGGGGCACGATGATGCCGATGATGTAGATGGAGATGATGGTGCTGCTGCTGATGATGATAATGAAGCTGATGGCGCAGTTGATGATGAATGGTGATGATGATGCTGACTGTCATAATGATGGGGGTTATGCGTGGAGGCGGGCCCGCTGGATGATGACAACAAAAGCACTGCGTCCCCTCCCCAGCGCGGCGCGCTTCAAAATCTGTAGCGCCCGCCTGAGTCCGACGCGGGGTGGGGCGGAGTCAGAACGAGGGCAAAACAATACATAATGGCTGAACAAGTTACTTTCCAATAGCTTCCCATATCGTCCACCTTCTGTGCCCCATACTTACACATTACTTCGCTGCAATTCCCAAAAAATGAGCATAGTCCCTGATGAACAAGTTTACGGAAAGTCATACGTAACCATCATGGACCCGTGTATAATGTGGTAAGTCAGATTGGGAGATTGGGCAAGAATAACTCAGAATACATGAACTGGTATTCCAAGATTTCTTTAAACTGGCATATCAATGGACGGCATCAATGCCGCATCAACCCAGCTTGAGCCCAAGATTGCGGGACTAGGACGGATTAGCCGGGATTCGGCGGGATTGATCCAGATTGAGCGGGATTGTTCCGGATCAGGCTGGTTTTCGAGCATGCATCTGCCAGCGCCTAAGCTGAATGTATCGTTAAGGGCTGAACGACTTCTGCTGTCCCTCGACTTGCACTGGAGCTTCCACGCTTCAACCGAGGTTTACCAGAATATTTCTAAATTCAACCCATATTGTTCCCGCAAAGTCGTCAAGCCCTCAGCGAATTTGATTTTCCAGGCGTTGCATCCTAAGATAGCCCGCTTCACCGGCGACACGAGGAGCCTTCGGAGACTCAGCACAAGCCCAGGTCGGTCAAAGCCCTATGTCGCGAATCCTGGCAGGCCGCTCAGTAGCTTCCAAGCCTGGACCAGCGCGGAATGACGGATTCGGCCCCACGTGACCCCCAAAGCCGGGCCAGCCAGAGGGGATTGGCTGACCACGTGATCCCCGAAGCCTGCCGAGGGGCACCACCCCAGCGAACAGCGGGCACTCGGACGCACCGCCGGCCAGGAAGTCGGCGAGCGCCTCGGCCTGCCCGAGCCCCTCGTCGCTCAGGCCCGGGTCGGCCTGCCGTCCCGCCTGCCACCGCTCTGGCGTCATGCCCGGCTCCTGGGCGCGCTCCTCTCCTCCGCCTCCCTGCGGGCAGGGCTGGTGTGGCGATATCCACATCCACTGCGACCTGGACTTTTCTAGGAAGGGGCGCCAGACGGCTTCCCAAGGTCCATATCCACTGCACCTCTGGTTTCTTGGGAAGGGGGCCTGGAACTCGAACACGCAGTCGATTTGGAGATACCTCTTGCCCGCACTTCGCTTTCCGTCGCTCCCTGTTGGCCTGGTCTTCCTCCTCCTCTCGGGCACACCACCAGTAGGCGCAGCGTGTGCAACTTGTACTTCTGTTTGCCACTACGGCGTTACGGGAAATTATAGTCACCCTAGTTTGGCCCCTCCCTGCAGGGGCGACCGCCCCTAAGAGGGGACACGTGGCTGCGCTCGACCCGAACTCCGAAGCCGACAGTGACGGCGACAACAAGGGAGAGCATTGCGGTCCTTGGGACCATCACACATCAATCCGCCTTGAAACATGAAGCAGGGCTCTGGCCAGGATCTTCTGCGATGTAGCACGCTTTTTGCAACGTCAGATTTCAGGGGGGCGTGGCCTGAGGATTTGGCACGTGCGATGAAAGATACTGCCATAAGGGATGTAGGGGCACGCTTGTGGCTGGCCTTTGACCTTCCTGAGGCGCCCAAACAGGGATCTTCTGACCCGGGTCAATCCAGACCCCGGCCAGTCAGTCTTCGCAGGATCCATCAAGATCCTACAACCAGCCCCGGGTCAATGCAACCCAGCCCTGCATTCGGGGGCGGCCGGGAGGGGGGCGTACAAGAGGGGGGGGCGCAAATCATGGCCGGCGGCATGTGCGCGGCCCAGGGGCGGGACCAGGGACGTTACGAAATAAGAAGCGGCGCCATGAAATATGGGGAATTATCATGGCCCACGCCATGATATCCCCCTCCCTAGTCATCACCCCCCTCTTGGCCGCCCCCGAATGCAAGATCCTGAAAGATCCGGCACTCTGACTGGCCCCCGGTTGCGTTGACCCCCGTCCCTCGAGCCCCGCCCCCAAGGGCTGCTGTGGCGCCCAGGGGCATCGGGAGATCGGACCCTTCTGCGGGGCAGCTGCTGGCAGGCCGGTTTCTTGCTCGATTAGCCGACTGTAGCGTTAGGTCGGGCACGCCCCCCTTACAGGCGGACGTTGGAGGAAAACAAGCAAACGCTTTTTTCGCTGTAAAAACAAAGATTACCAACACAACCAAAAAAAACAACAAGGAAAATCGCACCCAGACTATTCATTTAAACGATTTGGGATGCTTCCCCCTGTAGAGGGACGTGCCCGACTTAACTGTAGCGCTGTAGCCCGAGATCCTCGGGGCCCAGGGGCACGCCACCAGATCAGCGGACGATGTGGCTACCACCGGTGGGCGGCATGCCAAGGAGTGTGCAGGGCGAGGGCCAGCTTTCGGAGGTGGCAGGGCTGTCTTTAGGTCGGACATGTCCACCTACAGGCTGATTTTGGGCGACAGAAAATACTGAAGCAAATGCCCCAACATGTCAAAAAATACTCAAGGAAACGTTCCCATACTATTTGTTGAATCATGTTTGAATATCCTGTAGAGGGACGTGCCCGTCTTGAGGCTGGTTTACGAGAGGGGATGTTGGCTCCTGGAAGGCCGGAGGCGCTTCCAGGACGCCCCCCTGTCTGCTGAGCAGGGCACCCCCCTTCGCGCCAACCTTAGGTCGGGCGTCCCTCTACAGGCTGATTTTGGATGAACAAAACAAAATTTAACAAAAATGCTAAAACATGATAAAAATCCTTGCCAGACTATTCTGAAGATTTTTGAATATGCCTCCTGTAGAAGGACGCCAAGCCCTTCCGCTCGCCGCCCAACCCCTGGAGCGTATGCCCAAGGATGCGCGACGACCATGACGATGGCGACGAGGACGACGCTGACGACGTTTCTGACGACGAGGCTGACGACGGGGACGAAGACGATGACCACGACGAGGACGAGACACAGAGGCCTCTTGACCTCCAGATCTCTTCCTCGCGACGCTCCTTGCCCCCAAGCAAAGCCTGCATCCAGGGGGGCCTTCCCTCTGCCCCTCTGGGAACTGCGCGGGCGTGCCGAGGCTCCGCCTGGCAACCCGGCCGGTGCCCCCACCCGGTGGGCGCCTCGTGCGCCGGGGGGCGTGCCCAAGCTTCGCCTGGAGCCCGCCTGGTTCGTCTGCGAGCGCGGGGGGGGCGCGAGGAGGAGGGGGCCCGCTCAGACGACTCGAAAGTCCCCCGGCCTTCTGAGAGGCCTTCCGTGCCTTCCCCGCACGACTTCTCCGCAGGCGCGAGGGGCTTCCGGGAAGTCCCGCCGCCCTCCGAGAAGGCCGTCCCCTTCTCACTTCCCCCCCTCGCTCGCCGCCGGCTGGTGGCCGCCCGTGGGAGCGCCGTGGGCGCCTGGTGCGCTGAGCGTGTGGACGCCGAGGCGTGGCCTGGTGCCCGCCCGCTGGGGGCCTCGTGGCCGCACCCAAAAAAAAGCTTGCGCCACACAGCAGCCCCAGCACAACTCACCACGCAAATGTTGCACCACGTGTATGGCGAAAGCGCTGAACGTGCACGCTTCTCCCAGACGGAATGGGACGATTTTTGCTCTTGGGACGCCCTCTTGGGACGCCTCGTGGGGGCTTCTGGGGGCGTCTTGGGGGTCTCGTGGGCTGCGTGGAGGCCGGGGTGGGCGTCGTGGGTCGATCTTTCAGCGACTCGTGGCAGCTTGCAACACATAGCGTGCGCTGCACCACACAGCCTGCACCGCATGCCCTGCGCCAGGCACCTTGCCGCATATGGTTTGCACCCCACGGCCTGCACACCCACGTTACGATACCTGCATCTGCAGCACCCGTGCTGGAACATTCACTTTCTCTGGCCCTCAGACGCGAAACTTTCATATACGAGGCGCGAAGAGTGGCGGAACAGACACCCGTCGGGGGCGCGGGGCTCCGCCATCAGCGCGTTGTTGTAGGACTCGGCATGGCGGATCAGCAGAAGACGAAGACCGGCGCGCCTCAGCATGGGGGAAACGGGGCCTGAGGGAAACGCGTCCTGGACCCTGGGGTGATCTTGCCCCCATCGTACTTAAAGGACCACATCCCTAAACGAATTTCGAGCACGCAGAGAAGTGCCGAAACAGTGTCGAACGAATGTCGCCTTCCAGGGCCCGACACGCGAAAACCCTCAGACTTTGGCACCTTCCTGGCGCTCCAAATCCTTTCTCTGGCGATCAAGGCTAAAACCAGAAGGGGCATCACATCACCCTGGAGCCCTCCGACCAGAACGAGACCTTCAGCCCGAGGAGGCGACGGAGGAGGGGGGGGGAGGAGAAAAAGGAGGCGGAGGAGGAGGAGGAGGAGGAGGAGGAGGAGGGAAGGAGGAGGAGGAGGAGGAGGAGGAGGAGGAGGAGGAGGAGGAGGAGGACGAGGAGGACGAGCCCTCTGACAGCCCCCGATCGGACCGCGGCCGGGGCCCCTGGCGGGCCCGAGCACGGCGCACGGCCCCCTCGGCGCCCCGCCTCCCCCCGGGCCCCGCTTGGTCCCCCCCCCCCCCGGCGAGCGCGCCCCCGCGCCGCGCCGCCGCCGACGACGCCCGGCGCACCGCCCGCGACGGCCGGCCCCTCCGCGGCGCCTCCGCGGCCCTCGGCGGGCGCGCCGCCGCCGCCGCCGGGCCCGGCGGCCGCGTGGCCGTCGGCGGGCGCGCCGCCGCCCGCGGCGGCTGGCCCCTCCGCGGCGTCGCCGGGGCCCTCGGCGGGCGCGCTGGCGCCGGGCGGCATGGCGCTCGCGCGCGCCGCGTGCCGCGCGGCGGGCGCGCGTGCGGCGCGGGCGCGGGCCGCCGATGCCGCGCCGGGGCGGCGCGGGCGGGCGCAGGGCTCGATTTCCTCCTCCTCCTCCTCCTCCTCCTCCTCCTCCTCCTCCTCCTCGTCCTCCTCGTCCTCCTCCTCCTCCTCCTCCTCCTCCTCCTCCTCGTCCTCCTCCTCCGACTGAAGAATCGAAGTGCCCCAAAAGTGGTCCGCTCGTCGAGTCTCTACGAGACATGCATCAAAAGTGCTCCGTGGAGATCTGCAGACGCTCTACGTCTGCTTCGTACAGTCGGCGCGGAAAGAAGGATCCTGGGGTAGACCAATTCTGCAGTCGGTCCCCTGCTCGAAGGGTGGGCGCAGGGCGGGCGGCGGGCGGCGGGAGGCGGCGTCCTGGGCCGCGGGTCGGCGACCGAGGTGGCCTTCCCCTGCAGAGGCACGCCTGGCCCCCACAGCTCATCTTCTGGCGAGGTCCGCCCGCCCAGGCTTTGTCCTTGTCACTTTTAAAGCCCTCGTCGTCCTCCTGCTCTTCCAACCTGCTCCAGCCTCCCTGCCCGCCGCCGCCTGCCCCTCCCCGCACAATCCAGAGAATGCTTTGGCGAGGCAGCGGTGATGTCTTTTGACCAGTCTGCCAATCCAGCAGCGACGGTCCTCCCCAATCACTGCAGGCCAATCATTCTGGGCCTCTGAGGTTCCGACCTCTTCCCTAGTGGCAGTTGGCAGCGCTGAAGAAAGTCGCGCAACAGGTCACTCCGCTGGACTTTCCAGGAACTCGGCGAGACTTCCGCAGTCCAGCGGTTGCCAGTTTAGCATCACGCTCCGCTGGACCCCACAAGAACGCACGAATGACAGGTGCGCATTCGACAGTACCCAACACAGAAGGGTTTGGGGGACGAGGAAAGCCGCGAGAGGAGGAGAGGGGGGAGAGAGGAGAAGGAGAGAAGCAACGGCGTTCGGACTGAGAACGAGTGCCAGGCACAGGAGGGGGTTGGAAAGAAATGATGCCCGCCCTGAGAATGAGGTGGAGAAGGCAGAAGGTGGGCGTTTGGCGCATAGTCGGCCCCAGATTGCCCCAACACGGCCCCGGAGGGCTCCGGGAGGCCTCAGGAAGGCGCAGCGAGCGCCGCCACGCTGGGCCCAAGATGATTCAAGATACGCCCAAGATGGCCACTCGACGGCGCGACGGGCTCCCCAAATGGCCCAAGGGAGCCCGAAGACGACTCCCTAGAGGCCCCCAGGAAGCCAACAAAAATATGCTCCGTATGTTGCGGTGCCATTTTCGCATACTCGGGACCGCTCGAGGTGGAAGAGGACCCCGAGGTCACTCCAAGATGGCCCAATAGGCGCTTAAGAGAGCCCCAAGACGAGCCCAAGACGGCCCAATAGGAGCCCAACACGGCCCTCAGACCGCCTCAGAACAGCCCCTAAAGGCCCCCACGATTGCCCAGAGGGACAAGACGGCCCCAGAGGGGCCCAAGACGGCCCTGGAGGCCCCCTGAGACGGCCTGGAATCGGCCTCAAGAGAACCCGAAAAGGGCCCACTCGGGACCCTGTGTGAGTATGGTGACGGTCAGGAAATCAATGTACATGCATGCGTACATACATACATAGATGCATACAGACATAACCATATACAGGCATACATATACATATACAAACAGACATGCAAACATGCATACACATACATGCATACAATACCTGCATGCATGCATAAACCTATACATACACACAGACATACATATATGCATACCTATACACGTACATCAATACATACACATATCCATGCATGTCTATACATATATATATGTGCACACGAACACCCATACACACATTCATGCATACATCAATCGATCCCTTCATACATACATACATACATACATACATGCATGCATGCATGCATACATACATACTTACATACATACACACATACATACATGTCAGCATACATGAATATATACGTAATCAAACGCGTAAATACATACATACATGCATGCATCCATACATACATACACATTCAGACAGACAGGCCTGCCGACAGACAGACAGACAGACAGACAGACGGACGGACGGACAGACAGACAGACACACAGACAGACAGACAGACATACATTAATACATGCATGCACACATGCGTGCATGTATATATGCATGCATGCATGCATACGCACTGATAACAATGCATGTGTGCATGCACACATGCGAACACATCAACCAACCTACATACGTACATGCATGCCTGTGTACTTACATTCATGCCTGCATACATCTATACACACGCACGCATGCACTCATACAAAACTACAAACATACAGTCATACAGATATACAGACAAACATACATACATTTACACAGGTAAGTACTCACGTACACACATACACACGCGCAAACATACATACAGACAGACATACGTGCATATACAAGCAAACAACCAACCATAACCATGGTTTAACATGTACTCTCACACACGTACATGCATCCACACATACACATACATGCACTCATACATACATGCATACATACATACCTGCACAGATCTATGCATACAGACATACATGCATACAAACATGCGTGTATGCATGCTCAGAAGTGCTTCCACTTAGGGGTTCTGACTTGTGTTCTAGGGAATGGGGGGGATCAGAAAAGCGGGTCAATGCTCGCCGTCGCCGCCCCGTCGCCGCCTCGCCGCCGCCCGTCATCTGGGGGGGATTGCCCGTCTGGCGGCCACGTTGTCGCTGTCGCCGCCCCGTCGCCGCCTCGTCCCGGCTTTGCGTTACTTTGCATTGCTTTGGACTGCTTGCTTTGCGTTGCGCTGCTTTGCGTTACTTCGTATTGCTTTGCATCGCGTTGCATAGCTTTGGGTTGCTTTCCTTTGCATCGTTTCACATTCCATTGTTACGCGTTGTTTCGCATTTCTTTGTATTGATGTCCATTGCATGCCTTTGCATTGTGTTTCATTGTTCTGCGATGCTTCGAAGTTCTTTCCAGTGTATTTCGTCCACTGATATGTGATGTACATATATATATATATATACACTAGAACCACGCGCGCGCTTCGCGCGCGCTTAGGTTCTAGGGCGGCACAGGCAGAGCATTCGTTTGACAGAACAGGGGATGAGAGGAGTTGCAAAGAGAATCCCACCTGCGCTCTGTGCGTAGGTGGTTAAGCGCGTTTCCTCCCTCCACCCTTCCCTCTACCCCTTCGGGGAGGGTACCTCTGCCCCTAACCATCTCCCCTGGACCTAAATAGGGTTCCCGCGAGCGGTCAGATCGTCGAAGACGGCTCAAGACGGCTCCAAGGGGGCCTCATAGAGCCCAAGATGAGCTCCGAGATTGCTCAAGATGGCTCAAGATGGCTCACAAGATGCTCAAAGAGGCCCCACGACCGCCCCAAGGTGACTCCAAGCGGCCACGGAGCTTCCCAGGGAGGCCCCCCAAGAGGCCCCACAACGACGGGGCCCCATGGCCGCGACGCTACAGTGTGATGCAAGGGCGCCCTTGAGCCCGAACAGCCATGACACTGACAAAGGTGGGTGCAGAATGCGCGCGGCATCCTTCTTGAATACCTTGGTTGCGCATCCCCTTGCTTTTTGCTTTGCAAGAGGACTGTCCTCGGGCCCTCCTGGGGCTGTCTGGGCCGTCATGTGTGTCGCGTGGACACCCCATCACCGCCTCGTGACCGCCCCCGGTCTCCGCCTGCGGTTCGGTCTGGCGGCTATGTTGTCGCTGTCGCCGTCCCGTCGCCGCCTCGTCGCCGACCGTCGTCTAGGCCTACGGGTCGATCTGGCGGCCATGTTGTCATCTTCGCCGCCACGTAGCCTCCTAGTCGCCGACCGTCGTCTGGGCCTGGCTGCCAGACTGGCGGCTTCGTGGTCGCCATCGCCGCCCCGTCGCCGCCTTGTCGCAGCCCGTCGTCTAGGCCCGGCTGCCATTTTGGCGGTTTCGGAATCGCAGTCGCTGCCCCGTCGCAACTTCTTGGCCGCCCGTCGTCTAGGTCTGGCTGCCGGTCTGGCGGCTCCGTGGTCGCCATCGCCGCTTCTTGACCGCCCGTCGTCTGGACCTGGCTGTTGGTCTGGCGGCAACGTAGTCGCCGCCGCCACCCCGTCGCCGCCTCGTCGCCGCAAGAAGGACTGCACCACGTAGATTGCACCACATAGATTGCACAACACATGATGCGCAACATAGATGGTACCATAAATATTGCTCCTGGACTCCAT